AAGATAACGGATTTAAATAATAAAATTTTAATGATATGTATGAATAATAATAATTGAGTATTGAATCAAAACAAATACAATCAACATGTGTTAAAAGAATCTAACAAGGTGTAACCATATTTAGTTAGGATGTATGGTGGAAATAAGATTTTATCTCTTCCCCACCATATTTGTTGGAAAGAGCTATATGAGGAAGAGTAGAAACATTATTGGTATCTCTCATCTTTAGAATTTATGTTTCAAATTCCAAGTGAATCTTTCTCTAAACCCTAGTGTAACACAAAGCATCTTTTAAGGAGTTTAAGTTTCTTTGACATTACATTTCAAACTTTTTAAAGCTCAATGTCAAATTCTTGTATTTGAAATCAATAAGAGAATTACTATGAGAAGTTGATGATCATAATTGAGGTGAAAAATTACATGTCATACTAAAAAAATTTGCATAGAAAGATATGAAATGGATTTTCAAATATCTAAAAAGTACAAAGATCGTGTGAGTAGTAAACTCTGGTCTATTTTTACTCAAGTTTTTAAATCCTAGTCAAAATTTAAATAGAGTTGGTCAAAACTCTTCAAAAACATTTAAGATTTTATTTGCAATTAAATTCATTTGTACACGCAGCTTGGCAATGGCGAATCACATATTTTTGTGTTTATTTTTTGGTGTATACTCATGTTGATGATTTGATGTGTTGAAGTCTAGATGTATGTTCATGAATTGTTATTGTAACTAGTTTCAGAGAAATGATTCTTTGTATTTCAGAACTATCTCATGCGGAGGATTGTTTTCACTCTTGTTGAAAGATTAATACTCTAAGAAAAATGAAGAATCTAATCTTGGTTTTATGAATAAATCTACATAAACAAGAACAAGAGGCGAGAAAATTAAACTTCTACAAGGATCTCTTCATTGTTAAGTGTTGTCCATGATGATGGTGCGCTAGTTGGATTGATCTCTTTTTATCAACGTTATAAACAATTGCATTCAAAATTAACTAAACCATTTTTTTTCACAATTTTCATCTCAATATACATCAACATTATTTCAACAAAATTTACATATGATAATTCAATTTACAAACTTTTATGTACATAATCAATCACAACTTGAAAATACGATAAAAAAACGTATGAAACAATTAAAACTTGATTTCACAAGATTCAATGGAAAAAATTCAATAGGACATGAAATTACTACTTAACCGAAATTAATCCCAACAAGATCATCATTCTTATTTACATTTATTTAATAGAAATAAATCTTGATTATAAGATAAGCCTAAATTTTAAATAGTTCATTTTGATGCTATCATTCAGTTAACATATAACTTCAAACTACAATATATTATATTTATTTCATCGCATATAGTATTAAAGCTTGTAATTTACATAGAAAATATATCACTTTTCATATTAAAAAATTTCATGAAATTTCATTTGTTAATTATAATTTGAAATATTCACTATTGATGATAAAATTCATTTAAATTCTCATCCAATTCAGAATACAACAATTCAATCAGAATACTCAATTCAATACATAGCTATAGATATAGATAAATATAGCATAATAAAAGAAAATAAAAAATCAGTATTTTACATCACTGAAATAATGTTAAAATTATCAAAAATATATCTAATAAGACTATAAATTTAAATTTATATTACTGATTATGTATAATTTTTATATCATTAGCAATAAAAAATTTAAATTCAAATTTAGATCAATACCATCATTAACAAGATGAAAAATTTAAAAGATCCAAAAAAATACTTATATATATATATATATAAAACTAAATTTTTTGTACTAAATATATCAAATATTTATTAAAAAAATTTTAAGCAGTATAATTTTTGAATTTTAATTTTAATTAAAAATAAAGTAATTTTAACTGCAATAATACAAAATGATTTTGACGTTTTTTCCAATCTTTAGATTTTCATAATCTACTTATGTCATTGCATCATGAATAGACAATGGTGTGTTGTAGTATAATGTAACATCAGTATGGTTTAAGATGTACATCTTATCATAAATTTCATCTCTCATGATTATTTCAATTATAAATTTCAAATTATCTCATACAATATGCAAGGTGATCACCTTGATAGTATTCAAATTCTTGTATAACACACTAACATCTAATTTACATTTTCATCTTTTTATAATGTGTATTCAAAATAATAAAAAAATACGCAATTGGTATTACTTTTATATCTATATTTAAATGATTTAAAAAAATTAAGTCGCATTTATTATAGTCTAAAAACCTCAAATATTTAAATTAATATTTTTAATTTGCTTGCACCTGAATATTAATTTCTAATTAAAATTCCAATTATTTCTAAAGAAATAATTTTGATTGATGCATCATCATCATTATTTAAAAATAATATTATTATGAAAATTTTATAAATGAGAATTTCGTTAATTTTATATTGAGTGATTGATATGAATATAATAAGATATTTAAAATATATATGATTTTGTAAAAATAAATCTTTTGTTAAAAATGTAAAAGATTGAAAAGTCTAAGATGAGATGTAAAATTATATAAAATTTTTCCAAACCTTGTAAGGAACTAAAAAGATTAAAGGATTAAAATTATAAAATTCCATTGTAAAATAAATATATTACAAAAAGATGCAAAATGAATATATGTTTTTCATATTTCATTTAATTATATTTTAAATGAATTAATTTCATTTACAAAAATTTCAAAAATTTTCAATTAAATTTTATAGAATAAATATAAAATAATAGCTTTCTATATTCAAAATATATGGTATAATTTTTTTTAAATGAGAAAGTTAACGAAGTTGTGGAAAATTCATTTTTAATTTTTAATTTTTTGTTTACAAAATTTCAGGATACAATTTTTGAAAAAAAAAAAGGAATTCTTTTTTGTAAAATACGGTGTTGTTAATATACTTAGCGTTTTTCAACATATCTTTTTGTTACATTATATTCTATTGTACATGGATTTTCAAAAGGGAATCATACAAGTATTAGATAGACTTAAACTTTTGTACCAGAGACTCATCTATGATAAGATTCAAGTTTTATCCACACTATAAAGTCAAATATGAGACAAATATTAGAGTTTGAAGATCAACCTGTTGTTTTGTATGAAAAAGTCATGTAAGATTAGAAGTAAGTATCTAAGAGTTTTAGAGAGTTGGATCATGAAGATCAATGAGAGTCTGTCTCAATTTCATGTTTTTCATTTTATTACAGGAATGTTCATGAGGCTAAATTTCATGTATTGTCATTCACATGATACATAACAAAGTATCAAATGTTGTTAGAACAAAATAATTCAAATTTGTGTTGTGCAATACAGTTATAACTTTTGCAAATTTTTAAACTGATGATTTCTTCAAACATAAAAAATGAAGATGTAAGATTTGTAAAAAAAAGAATAATTCATGAATATATTAAATAATAATTTGATTTTTAAATATTCATCATGGATATGAATGAAGTAGGATTCTTAGATATGTTCATGCAGGATTTTAAGAAATTTAATAAAAAAATGATAATAAACAATAAATCTATAATGAATGAAGAAAATGAAATTGCTTAATAAATTTCAAGTTCTTATGAAATCACACATTGTGAACCATCAAGAAATGTTCTAGATAGTAACGACACCACACCAATCATCACTTGAATCAACATCATGATTCGGAGTTGAAATTTGGGAATCAATGATTATAAAATTGCAAAAAAATTATGAAAATAATGAAATGATTCAAAGAAGAGTTGGAGTTTGTGGTTCATCAATGTTATACATGCACAGTATGTATCACATGCCAAATTTTGTCCAACTCGACCAAGACCACAAGGAAAATGTCCAATGTATTGACTCTAGTGTTTTTTGCCTCCTTGTGTCTCGTATCAGTCTTTGTGTTTATCTCTCTTCCAGCTTGGTTCCAGCCGTGCTTTCTTGTCTAAACTCGTCCAGAATAGTTTGATCTGCTCACGGACATAAGACTTCGTGCAACCTTCAATGTCACCGCAAACCTCAGTCGTCATGAACAACTTCAAACAAAACATCAACCGGAGTCAAAACCTTGCATCATTCTAACACCTTCAGAAAAAAAACACAACTCTCTACAAATCGTTTAGAAGACAATCTCAATCTTTCATCTCTGCATCCATTGCTCTGACCGTTTCTGAATCCAAGATCAGTCTACCAAAAAAATTCAATCAAACACGTTTTAAATTTTGAGGCTTTGTGCTCCTCGTCATACAGTTACACCTCCCTTGCTATGCGGACGATAGCACTTGCGTGGAATTCGTTGGCATCCCGCTTGACGCGACTATTGAGTCATGATTCCCCTCCATCTTGGAACTCGTCTCTTCTCTTGTAGAACTTTGATGCTTTCATTGACGATTTTGAAGCAATATTTGGAGACAGCTAAAAACCCGAGACGTTAGCAAACAAACTTTCTAAAAGCAATTGAACACTTGAGATATTTCATCTTCAAAATTTATATTTATTTTTGAATAATTTTTTCTCCAAATTCTAATACTACAAAACCTCAACAAATTTTAGAATTATAGATCCTAGTGTATATCTTTTATTCAAACCTGACACGAAATCAGAATATTATTCTAGTGATCCGTGTAATTTCATGCGCAAAAGCTAAATGATGTGTAACATCTCTTATCTCACATGATTAGAGCATGAGGATTGTGAATAAAGCATGACTCATGTAAATAACTTATACTCTCTTAACAAATCTGAACACACATATCAGGAGTAACCACATATGATTAAGGAAACGGAGAGCAAATAACTTCACTAGAGGTAGAGAGATAACTGATTCGGTTGACCTCGTCAACTGACCCATTAGTGGTTTATTCAGGAGAAAGCTATACGGAGATCGACTTCTGGCTTTACAAGAAAGGCAGAACTTAGTGAATTATTTTCTAAAGAACTGTTTTTGAAGCCTTAGATGAATGATCGACAAGAACGTGCATTGAATCTTTACACGTCAGAAAATTGCAATCCTGCCTTACGGTAGACGTCCAAAGGCAGTCGCCTCTTCATGAGTAGATTCAGAGGATCCCGCCTCGCTACGGTGAGTGTGAACTTCTCTTCGACATCTACGTCCAGATGAGTCAAGCCTTCGGGCAGGGAGATTGTACACGCATGAATCAGCTGCGCGATGTATGCCACACAGACGAGCGCCAAGTTCATGCCCACACACCTCCTTCTCCCAGCACCGAATGGCAGAACCTCGTAATGGTGCCCTCGCACATCTACAGGGCTGTTTAAGAATCTTGAAGTATCAAACTTCAGAGGATTTTCCCAATCCTGAGGATCTCTGCCAATGGCATAAATGTTCAGTATAACCCAGGTGTTGGCAGGGATATTGTGTCCTGCTACTTTCGTTGCCTCTGTCGAATAATGAGGAACTCCCAAACCAGCGACTGGGTGCAGCCGTAGTGTTTCCTTCACCACTGCCTGCAGATACTCCAGGTTGTTGAGGTCTGCTTTTTCAACCAGCCTTTCTTTACCGATCACATCGTCGAGCTCTCTTTGAAGTCTTTCCATAATGTTGGGATGCCACAGAAGCTCAGTGATTGCCCAAACAATCGAATCAGCGCTGGTATCAGTTCCACCAACGATGATGCCCTGATTGAAGGATCACAGATATTAGTGATCATGTGCTTCCGAGATGACGACGATACAGCTAGTGAGAATATTGATATTAAGTTCCGTGTAGTACTGCCATTGTCATCCTTACACTGTTTTGTGCAATGAACTTGCAATTTGCTGTAAGAAAGAATTAGAAGATCGACAATCCAATTTTGCCTATGTTGATGTCTGTGCAGGAGAATATAAGCTCAAAATAGAGCTAAAAATTTGATACATAATATGCACTCTTTGGACTCATGAAAGAATGTCACTCGGACTCAGAAATGAATGTCAGAAGGAAGACAATCGTCATGCAATCTAATATTCGATCGGAAAAGGTCATCATCGACAGATGATGACCAACCAGAAGAAGTAGTTGGACTTGAACACGTGAAAAAGTGCTCGTAGCTAACAGCACGTCCAAGAAGTCTTCTTCAGTATTCGACTTCGAGTTGGAGTTTTCCTTCAGGCGGTTGTCGATGATGGAATCCATAATTTTGAAATATCTTTCACCAATATTTTTCAGTCTTCTAACTTGTCCGCTCAGATCAAGTGATTTAAGCAAAGGGAAGAAATCTTCTATTACGAGCCCTCCTGCACTTATGAAATCATGGGTTATTTCCAGAAGGTCCTTGTTCTGAGCATGTCCATCCGTTCGAAATAACATTCGAGTAGTCAAATATAAAAACTGGTTGTGCGATAAATCAGCTAAATTTATGTAACGATTCCCATGACCCTCCTCGAATGCAGTCCGCAAAGTTCTGAGAGTCATCTGTCGCCTAAAATCCTGCACAAGTCACTTTCTAAACGTTAATGGTGCAAAAAATGGCGACATGCTGCACCTACGACAGAAAGGAATCATGATTTCACGAGAGAAAACATAGCTGGTGTCCGTGAGAGACCACAGGAATGAAAACTCTTCTTGCGAAGGCCAAATACGAACCATTTTGCAGTTTGTGAGAAGAACAAACTCCGTAATTGGAAAGCCTTAAGGAAACTAAGAACTCATTCTTTGTTCTCGGTGTCAAGAACAGAAATCAGCAGCACTTTCTAGAGTGATTCCCTAAGCTATCTGTAGTAAATGGTTGTGCATATGAGATGCTCTTCAATCAAAGTGAGACCTCTTCTATTAGACAGTACAAGTCGATGTAGTTCTTAGAGCCCAGTCAATGATTTCTTAGAAGGGGATAGTGCATGTGACCAAACTCTTCCAACCAATTGGATTTGTACCTTAGATGAGTCGATCCGATTTTGTGAAAGAAGTTCTGTGGTAAAAATTTTCCGAAAGAGACGAAAGTGGTCATCCCAAGGACTCAATCCTAGATTCTGACCTCTCTTGAACACCATGTCTGCCATAATCAACGGACGGCGAGATGCAAATATGTGATCTTGAGTCTTCAAAACCTCTCTGGCGATATCTGAATAAGTTACAACCACAACACGTACAGCTCCCAGTTCCAGCCACACTATGAGTCCATATTTTTCAGCGATTTTGGCGCTGGAGTGGTGTGGCAACCCGAATAAAAGGTGATGGAAATGGCCAATTAATGGCAACGATGGGGGCCCAGGAGGTCGTTTCCCGCCTGCATATCTTACTCTCTTGAAAACCTTCAGCAGGACGTACAGGAAAACCAGTGCTGCAATAAATTGCACAGACCAGCTCGTGAGTACAGCAATGAGGTCCTCCATATCTCTCACCTCTATGGATTGTGCAACGCGGATGAAAGCCCCTGACTGAAACACTGACTCCGCTGATTATCGAGGCTAGAACACGGGATCCCAACAATTTGTGGTATTTGAAGTGTCACCGCAAGCATGCAGACGCATGCATGCAAGCTGACTTTGATTGTCATTAAATCACGAACTTTCGAGGATAGGGTATCAGATGGTGAGAGAAACGAGACATGAAAAGAAAGAATTAGAAAAAAAAAGAAAAAAAACTGCAACACATACATTCTGTCAAGTAGCCCGTATATGATTGGCTGGGCGCACGTTCGCTCGTGCAGGACGATTCCCAGATGATGATTCTACAAAATCAGGTGCTCTGGAAGTACGAGAAGTTGCCGTTGTGAGAAAAAAATACTTAATTCCTCAAGGCCTGTGAAAAGCAACAAAAATGAGAGCTAAAAGCTTCACCACTTAAAATGATCAAATAATCGCTAGAGAATCTACTGTTATCCAAATCATCACCCCAACTAGTATCAGAAAAGCTTTTGAGAGAATAGTTGTTCCCTAATTTCCTCTATTATAAATACATATCAAGACTGCTGTTCAAGTACCTTATTACACTCTCCAGACATCTCCAATGTCATGCAGTTGGAACATTAGTGTATCTGGCTAGAGCTCCCGTAGAGTGACCTATATCTGGTTTTGTACACACAATATCAAACACGAGTGAACCTAGTGCACTATGACATAGGAACTGCAAGTCTTCAATGGTTTGCGTGCTAGTTTCATCCATCTCCTTCTTCAACCTGCAGCCATGTTCCAAGGGGGTAGAGACAGGTTTTGCATCCTCCATTTTCTACCTATCTCCAATGTACTTGGTTTGGTCCAACCAAATTCATCCTTCCTTTCGGTTTCTGTCAATGTGGATGCCTAGAAGAAACTTCACAGTACCAAGTACTGTCATGTCAAAAGTGTCTTACTCCCTTCCCTATCAACAACAAATCATCAAGTACTGTCATGTCAAAAGTGTCTTACTCCCTTCCCTATCAACAACAAATCATCAACGTACAGTACATTGTTTTGAAGAGTTTTTCATTCTTAATGAAGGCAGTCAAGTTTGAGTTTGCTCTCTTGAAGGGTTGCATCCTCAAATAAGTATCAAGCCTCTGGTAGCAAGTCCTAGGAGCTTGCTTTAGCCCATATAAGGCTTCTCTGAGCAAGCAAACTTTGTCAGAGTTGGAGTAGAAATATGGTACGTTCTTGTAGATTTCTAATCTCCATTCAAGAATGCTATCATCAAATCTAGTTGCTAGATCTCCCACTTATTTTCAACTGCTAGAGCGAAGAACATCCTGATAGAACTATACCTTGCAACAGTACCGTAGGTTTCAAGGTTGTCTACATCAGTTCGTTGACTGTATCCCTTGGGATCTAATCTTGCATTGTCCTTCAGAATCTCTCTAGCAATTCCTCTCTTCACCTTGAACGCTTATCTCCATCCAATGGTCTTTCTTCCTGGTGGAAGATTTACATATTCCCATGTGCAATTTTTCCGTTGAGATTCTTCCTCGTCAAGTATGACCTGCTCCCTCTTATCACATCTGATCTTCTTGAACCTCCCAGATATGATGAAGTTTCATCATCTACAAAATTGGAGATGTATTCGTTGTTGTTAGTATATAGTTACCGACTGCAATATACTAAGCAGATTAGGATAATATGTGTTGTGTTGTTGTGATTGTATTTTCAAAGTCTATGAAGCTTATTGGATGTGATAATTATATCAATTGGTTCTTACGCCTCAAAACGATTTTTTGCATCAAAGATTGTTGGGATGACATCATCCACCATCCAATTTTGCTTCACAATTTTGATAGCCCTCGTCAACAAGACATCCGCAAGCTCTGCATCAAAGCCATATCATTGATTCAGACCACCGTGCATTCTGACATTCTATATTTTATTTCAAATTTTAAGGACACTCCTGTAGGTTTTGTAGCTTATCTACGTGATAGTCAAGCTATTATCACCAAGAGGAGGAGACAATCATCAACCTAGCAATCCAAGAGATTGAGGGTGTTGATGTGGAACATAAGAGGCCTATCTACAACTAAGTATGTGAGTGCACATCCGATTTGGAAGATGGCGGACATCCTCAACATTGTTGAGACTTGGGAGCATGAAAGTAATGTTATTGGAGAGATACAAGGGTTTACTCTGGTGGGATCTACTTGGAACCATAGAAATCGACGAGCAGGAAGAGGCTTTGGAGGCATTGCTACTTTCATCAGATCTGAACTTCTTCCTATGATACATTTGGAAAGCCAAGATATTGGGAAACAATATCATTGGCTTCGTCTTGGATTAATTGGAGGATCTTACAGTTATTTGGCAGTTTGCTACTTTGCACCATTATCCATGCAGATCTACTCCACAAGCACTTGCAATCGAAGTCAACCATTCCATCGGCTCATAGGAGATGTTCTCAAATATCAAGACAAAGGTGAAGTTTTTCTTGTTGGAGACTTCAATGCCCGCATAAGTTCCGCTCAATTTACACAATTTGATAGTTCCTTGTCTTCTCACTCTTTTGAAGAAAGTAGAGATAGTTTGTGGTCTAGAGTCTCTTGTGATCCTTGTACAAATGATTTGACTGAGCATTTCTTGACTTTTGGAGCCACTTGTAATCTGAAAGTTCTCAATGGTGTTTCTTTCTTTCCCAACTCTCACTCCAATACATGTTTTTCCTCTACTGGTGTTAGCACTATAGATTATCTTTTGTCCTCTGCCAGTAATAGTTCATTTATCTCAGCGTTTGATATTCTAGAGCCTCAACTAGAATCAGATCATACACCTCTTTTATTTACTCTTTTGTTGTCAACGTCAATCCCTCTCCCTACATGTCACTATGTTTCTACTTCCCCCAAGTTTTGTTTAGATGCTAGTAAGAAGCAACTTTATAGTGAACATTTCCAAGACCTCTTGACTTGTACTACTTGAAGCCTTGATCCACATACATCTAGTTTGCAACTAACTGAGTTGCTCCAAAACTCTGCTTCTAAGTTCTTTTTGAGACATAAGACCAGGAGAGCTAGAGGTCTTCCTTGCAATGGATGGTTTGACTTTGATTGCAAGCAAGCGAGGGTGAGATCACTTGATAAATCCTTGGATCTTCACAATCGGTTGATTATGACAAGACTTTACAAAGACTTGGTGAAGTTCAAGAAACGAGCATTTTTGAGGCAGAAGCAAGAGTGCTTGACAAAGGAGCTCTTGGAGAATCCCAAATCCTTTTGGAGGCGGTTGGCAGTACGATCTTCTAAACCTACTCTTGATCCCAAGTCTTTGATTTCTTTTGCTGAAAAGCTTTATTTCTTTCCCAATGTTGCATCTATGCCACATTGTGAAGGAAATCCAGGCTTATTTTCAGAAGTTGAAGTGATGACTCAACTCAGACAATTGGCAAATGGTAAATGTGAGGATTTGGATGGGCTTTCCATTGAACTTCTCAAGTGGGGAGGAGATGCTATTGGACCTATACTCACGAAAGTGTTAGAGGATGCTGCTATTCATGGCTTTCCTTCATCTTGGTCTCTACGGAAGATTGTTCCTATTCACAAATCTGGAAGCAAGGCCTTGGTGACAAACTATCGCACTATCATGGTGGGTAGTATTTTTGCCAAGTTATTTGGCAAATTGGTGGAGTCAAAGTTGAGCACATGGGCTGAATCTTGTCAGAAGAGAGCGCGGTTCCAAGCTGGTTTTCGTCCTACATTCAACACTATAGACCATATCTTGGTTTTACGTGTTCTATGGGAGAAATCCAAGGGTAATGCAAAAGCTTTGTTTTGTGCCTTCATTGATTTCAAGAAAGCTTTTGACACAGTACCTCGTGAGCTTTTATGGCAAAGATTGCAAGCCATTGGAGTACCATCAGATCTCTTGGCAGCGGTGGCTGCATTATACCACTCAGTTCAGGCCAAGATCAACACTTCTCAAACCGAAGAGATTATCAGCACCATTGGAGTCATTCAAGGTTGTCCTCTCTCTCCCACTCTCTTTGGAGTTTTCATAGATGATATAGAAAGGTGGTTGGAGGATTGTGATAGCGAAGGTGTTAAACTTGGAGGCTTTGTCATCAAAGCTCTTTTGTATGCAGATGATGTCATATTACTAGCACGTGATGCCACTAGTTTACAGAAACACCTCGACACTTTGGCTAGCTTTTGTACTCAAAATCAGATGGAAGTCAATTTGGAGAAGTCCAAAGTCATTCTTGTGGGCACTAGATCCAAGCTCTCTTTCTGTTACAAAGGATTAGAGTTGGAACAAGTGAAAAGTTACAAATATTTGGGCATTGATTTCTCATCTGATTATAGTTGGGCACTTTGTGTGCAAAAGAGGGTAGAAGCTGGTTTCAAAGCTCTATATTCATTGCTAAATAGATGTAGAGGAGCTCATCTAGTGTCTTGGAGTCTTAGGAAATTCTTATTCAGGAGCTTAGTGTTTCCCGTTATCTTATATGGAACACAAGTGTGGGGTCCTGGTTGTAAGAAGACAGGTTGGCAGCGTTTGGAGAGGGTGCAAAAGATCTTCTTACAAGAAGAATTGGGTGTGAGGACCCAAACTTCTTATGCAATTCTTCTTGCGGAAACAGGTTGTCTACCTCTTGAGGCTGAAGCTCTCTTTTTGACTATCACTTACGTCAAAAGAGTGAGATCTTGTGGTAACCCACTTTTTGTTTTTTGTCGGAACTAAAACATTTTTGAATAGTAAGTACCGCGGCAGCAGCTGTAAATAGTAATCGGTACGCGAAACCAGAGGATCGAGGACAGTCAAGGGGTTTTTGGGCTTAGGCCACAGTGGGACGCTTGGGACGGAACGGGCGGTTCATGCTGCAGGATCCGCTTCGAGCACCTTCGGCGGTTGATCACTCATAACTTTCTCAATTCGTAACGCCTTGAGTTGCTTCGGGTCTTGTTGCAAAGAGCTCGCGACGCTCGTTCTAACGAGACCAAGAA